TTTTTAAAGGCAAGGATAGGTAATTATCCGGATTTTTTTTTCAGTGTTGTTCAGGTTCAACATATATTGTTATACGTTCAGCTGAACATGATAAAAGCATATCAGCTAATCATCGAGATGATTTTAATCATTTGATCAATTTAGAGGAATTTAAAGAGGTTGCACTTAATCATTCAAATAAAGTTAAACCTATTGTTATTATTACCGTTGATGGTGGACCAGATGAAAATCCACGTTTTCCAGAAACACTTGCTTCATCAATTGATATCTTCAAAACCCATGATCGTGATGCATTGTTTGTACTAACTTATGGATCTGGCCTATCAGAATTCAATGCCGTTGAATGTCGTATGGCACCATTACAAGGGGGAAAGAGCGAAATCCTAGAATTCAGAATCGTGTATGGAATCCTTGGGAATCCTAAAGAATCCTTGATAATCTAAAAGAATCCTTGATAATCTAAAAGAATCCTTGGGAATCCTCGGGAATTTTTTGGAATCCTTCGGACGTTTTGGGAATCCAAAAGTCGAAGATAAAACATGAATATCCTCTATATTCATTAAAATCTTTGAAATTTCTAGAAATTTACAAGATATTGCTCTAAAAAATCAATGATTGCGGAATTATTTGATAAAATCTCTAGAGACTAGAGGTACACACAGTTCACTTTAACAAATTCAACTTATTGAAACGGTTCACTTGACGTGAACTAAGCTCCGAAAAAAGTTCTTTTCAACGAACTGAGCTTTTCCATCAGTTCACTTGCTACAAACCAAGCTGTATAAACAGCTCATTTGAAAAAAATGAACTTATCGATCAATTCAAATAACGTGAACTCTACGATCACCTCATTTCTGCGAACACCGAAAGGTACATATTCCTCTTCTACTATGCAGCACTATTCTTAGGTCCTCATATGCTATACTAGGGAAGAGAGGATACCCTTGGATCCTCCTATCCTATAGTGGGGTGAGGGTGGGGGTACCCTTGTATCCTCATAAGATACTGAAGGCCCTAGAACTGACCAATCAGAAATTAAGGATCCAAAAATTGACCAATCAAATATCGAGAATTCAAAAACTTATGACTCTCGGTATCTGATTGTTCAACTTTAGGGCTTTAAGTTCTGATTCGTCAGTTTTGCCATCCTGGGTTTCTGATTGATCGATTTTAGGATCGTTGGTGTGATTGGTCGATTCTAAGGCTCTTTGTATGTTATGAGGATCCAATGGTACCTCCCTAGTATAGCATATGAGGACCTAAGAATAGTGCTGCATAGTAGAAGAGGAATATGTACCTTTCGGTGTTCGCAGAAATGAGGTGATCGTAGAGCTCACGTTATTTGAATTGATCGATAAGTTCATTTTTTTCAAATGAGCTGTTTATACAGCTTGGTTTGTAGCAAGTGAACTGATGGAAAAGCTCAGTTCGTTGAAAAAAACTGTAAGAAAAGTTCAGCGCGACAAGCTGAGTCGTTTAAAATAGTGGGCCGTTCTGAACTAGAACTGAACTATCTGTACCCCTGGTTTTGATAACTTGGGCAGTTTATTTAAAGTCTATCTCCCATTCTGGAATATTTATTGCAGGCTGACAGATCTAAAATATCAATCAAATAGGACACAACTGAAAGATATTTATCAGATTTTGTGAGACGGGAATTCGAAAGAATCCTTGAGAATCTTTGGGAAGCTTAAGGAATCCTAGGGAATCCACTGGAATCTTTCGGAATCATCGGAATCTAAACGACTGGATTCCGCTCTTTCCCCCTTGAGACTAATAGAAGGAAGCACAAAACCTCTATAAAATCAATAAAAGTTTCTAAAATTTAAATAAAATATATATAAACAGCTAAAATGCAATTTTTTATATGAAAAATATCCAAAACCGGAAAAAAAACCAGGTAAACTTTCAAAATCCGGAAAAATCCGAACGCCGGAAAAAATCTGAAAATCCGGAACTTTTCCAGGAAATCCGGAAGAAATGGCAGCCCTGATCTTCACATACTTAAAGAGTTTGCCATTACAAGAAATATACATAATCATTGAATTTGATTCTTATGATAGTACTTAGTTAGACGAGTCTCGATATTTCTCTGACATCTTTTACAACTGCTTAGGAAAAAAAGTAGTTATTAATACAAGAAATTCATCCAGTAGTGAAGATGAACGTGATGAGCCACAATCACAATTATCTAACGAACCACTAACCAAATAAGCAAAGGATATATATATCACGCATGATCTCACACAATGGTTAAAACCAACATTCGAAGAACTTCAGTTCTTAATAAAACATATCAGTTTTTTTATCTTTTTAAACTATTAGTTTTCCTTTTTTCTTGTACATCTAATTCATGAACTGAATTAAAACCAACTATCAAAACTTTTTTGCTGTACATCTAACTCGTGAAATGGATAAAAAATAACTATTGAAGTACAAACAAAAAAAACGCTTTCACAAAAACTTAGACATATGAGAGAGGAGGATCCACAAAACATCACGTGATCAAGGGGATCTCTCAAAAATCACTCATCATCACAAGGAGAAGCCCAAAACGGCCCAAAACTAGTCACGTGATTTCCGAACAGTCCCTATTGGGTATTTGTTTCATGTAATCTTTGATATTGATTAGACTACTATGGATTTCATCAGCTATTTGTAATCGTACTGGATATATTGTTCTGAACATTCCAATCGATTGATTCATGTCTAAATTATTGACGAAATCTCTAGCACAGCACTCTAACATAACATAGTTTTCTTCTAGGCTAGTTATTTCATCACGTAATGTATGACCAAGTGCAGTCAGCAAGAGATGTTCTACTTGTGTATTGAATACACGGTTACAATCATTAAGTAGATTTGTAGTTGTTTCTTCAGTTAAGACTATATTAGTCTCGTTTATATCATTACTTTTGTGTTGTTTATTTGCAATAACTTTATTGAACATAACCACGTTGATGTTCAATAAGCTTTTCCAATAGGTTATCTCATTTGTTTCAATGTTGGTAACATACTTTGTTACAGCATTTGACCACTGTTTGTAACAGCTTTTACTACTAAAATCGGCA